CCAACCCCTGTTTTTATCATTCTTGATGTATTTATCTTAGGTACATGTGCTTCATGACTGATGAAACAAATTCAAGATCCTTCATCCAAAGAGCACAAAGACCCTGCTTCCAGAGTACTCTCCTTCCTCTACCTGACAATAATACTCAAAATAATAGTGCTCAAGCGGCCATGGAGAAATCTGTGTTCACTGCTCCTACTTCTTGTGCCTTTTAACAACTATTAATGAATGGTTTCTTCATGAAAGAAATTTTAAAAACAAGAGATGCACATTCTAGGAATAAACAGAAAAATGTTCTCGAAAGTACCTAAAAAAAAAAAGCACATTGTTTTTTGTTGTCTTCCGGATACATTTTAGAAGTCAGGGCATCTTTGGTAGTTTTATTTAGTGGAATAATCTCTTTGTAAGGCCATCCAACAGACCTGAGCCAAGCTTTTGGGTCCAAGTCAGGATGACATGGGTGGGAAGGAAGCTGTGACAGTAATTCAAGCAACCTCACGAGGACTGAGGAAAAGATAAGAGGTGGGTTTGGGGAGCTCTTGTATTAATTTTCTATTGTATGCTGAGAACTGTGTTAAATATTTCACATAATAATAAGTACCTAAAGTGAGCTCAAATCTAGCCCCAGATTGTGCCAAAGTATCTTTCATAGATCACTGCTTTTTATCAATGGTCCTCATGAAATAGGAATCATTACTATCCCCATTTTCCTGATTAGAAATGGGATTCTAAGTACAATGACACTGAATAACTTGCTCATACAGTCATACAATATTAAGTATGAACCCTGGATTTAGTATGCAACATGCAGTTTTAAATACATATTTATCTATTTATTTGAAAGAGAGCAAGATCTTCCACTGCTTCACGCCCCAAATGGCTGCAATGGCCAAAGCTTGGCAGATAGGAAGCCAGGAGCCAGGAGCTTCATCTATGTCTCCCATGTGGGTACAGGGGTCCAAGTACTTGAGTCATCTTCCTTTGCTTTTTCAGGCACATTAGCAGGGAGATGGATAGGAAGTGGAGCAGCCAAGACATTACCAACTACGCCACAGCGCCAGCTCTGCAACCTGCATTTTTAATTTTGCACTGTGATTTCATTTCTCAGAATTATGCTGAAAAGAAAGATATTACTCCAGTTTTACAGAAAGGTATAAAGAGTTAAAAGAATCTAAGCTACTTGCCTAACAATTACTAAGCAATATATAAGTAGCAGATGAGGTTAGGCTTAGACTTTTGTGTGACATCCAAGCCATACTTCCTAGGGTACCGCCTGGTTTCCAGCCTTGTTAGACCCTCTGTAATCCCGCTTCCTGAAACTTCTTCACTGTTGAGTTGCCGGACTGAGCTACCACGAGAGTTCTGTGTTTGCTTTGTTGATGACTTTGACCACACTGAGTGACAGTAGGAAGGACCCCCCCTTTCCTAAGATTGCTCGTAAACTCACTTGCTCTGACAGCATGTTGGAGTGGAAAGCGATCTGAGGAAGCATCTATTTTCTAAGTTGAAAAGATGAATTTAACAGTGATTTGGAATGAGCTCCCAAAAGTCCCTCATTTTTTTAAATTTCAGGATGAATCGGTGATATCCAGGGTCTGGAAGTGGAGAGGAATAGAACTTAGAAAACTCAAGCAAAATCTTTTTTTTTTTTTTTAAGATTTATTTTATTTATTTGAAAGGGTTACAGAGAGAGGTAAAGACAGAGAGAGATCTTCCACCTGATGGTTCACTCCCCAGTTGGCCACAACAGCTGGAGCTGTGCTGATCCGAAGCCAGAAGCCAGAAGTTTCTTCCAAGTCTCCCACGTGGGTGCAGGGGCCCAAGCACTTGGGCCATCTTCTACTACTTTCCCAGGCCATAGCAGAGAGCTGGATCGGAAGTGGAGCAGCTGGGACTAGAACTGGCGCCCATAGGGGATGCCGGCGCTTCAGGCCAGGGCTTTAACCTGCTGCACCACAGCACCGGCCCTATTCAAAATCTTAAGTCTACAGAAAGGGAAATGTTCCCCTGGCTCTATGCCATTCAGACTAAATGGAATCCAGGCAGCTTTCCTGTTAAGCAGTCAATTAGCACTCAGCTTGGCCGGCTACAAAGCCATAGTGACTTGAGGCATTGTGGTAAGAATAAGCCCGCACAGAGTAATGCTGAGGGAAGCACATATTCTCAGCTATCTTGACCTTGCCTCCACTGCTGTCTTACAGCTGGGGAGCTAGCAGGCACCTGGATGTGCAGGAGGCAGCACACCCTTCCTGTCCCACAGTGCCCTCACTGGAGGATTTCTCAACAGTTATTTCTGTCAACTGCTTCCCAGCAAGGACATTTTTACACATCGTGTGCTTTCCAATCTTTGTTTCCCCTTAAACTCTGTTTCGTTGTTATTTTGAACCCATCTCCTGGGGAGCTAGTGTAACGCCTTCTAAACTTAGGGTTTTGAACATCCGCTTCACTAACTTGAAGGTAAAAAAAGATGTGAGCACGTGGATTAATGTAAAAACCCTTTAGATGAGTATTTGTTGACCTTCATGGCCTTAAATTCATTGAGCCCCTAATTAGGGAGTGATGGTGGAGAACAAATCAAGGGCCACACCAAGTCCGAGCGTTAACTTTCTCAGACACTGCAAAATTAGTAAAGTGTGAAATAGCTCGAAAGTGACTTTGAACCTTCTAACTCAGAGTAAGACATGCTGAAAAGTCTTCTTAGTTTGGTAGCTCCAACCATAGGCACTTTCAAGTAGGGTACACTGTAGGTAAGCTGTAGCTTTCATTTCCTTTGACCTATTTGCTCAGACACCCACTTTATCCAGCCACCTAACATCATATATTAGCAGAGCTGTGATAATTTTATGCCATGCAAATTAAGGAAAAATAGAATGATGATGAGAAAAATCTATCAAATTTTAGTCACAATAATGTGGAAAAATATTCCCCCAATTTTTTAATTAAAAAGAAAAAGATGGGATTTGGTTTAGGAGAAGCAGAAGGTAACCATTTCTTAAATGAACTTCATGTATGATCAGGTGAGAAATGCATGTGAACACTAAACACACAGGGGCCTATTTCTATAAGCCGGTAGAGTGTGAGCCCTGAGGCCAAATTGCCCGTGTCTTTATTGCCAGGCCTGCTTCTTGCTAGTTGGGAGACCTTTGGTAAAAGATCCAGCTGTGGCCGGCGCTGTGGCTCACTAGGCTAATCCTCTGCCTGCAGCACCCGGGTTCTAGTCCCGGTTGGGGCACCGGATTCTGTCCCAGTTGCCCCTCTTCCAGTCCAGCTCTCTGCTGTGGCCCGGGAGTGCAGTGGAGGATGGCCCAAGTGCTTGGGCCCTGCACCCCATGGGAGACCAGGAGGAAGCACCTGGCTCCTGGCTTTGGATCAGCGCGGTGCGCTGGCCGTGGTGCGCCGGCAGCAGCGGCCATTGGAGGATGAACCAACGGTAAAGGAAGACCTTTCTCTCTGTCTCTCTCACTGTCCACTCTGCCTGTCAAAAAAAAAAAAAAAAAAAAAAAAAAAGAAAAAGAAAAAAGAAAAAAAATCCAGCTGCTCTGTGCCCCAGTAGCTCAGCTGTGAATTAGGAACAGTGATAGGTGCACCACCAAGCTGTTGTGAACATGAAATGAGTCCATCTGAGTTACATGTGTGGAACAGCACCTGGCACAGAGAGAGTATTCAGCAAATAGCAAATGTTTGCTATTAATGTAAAGGGCATGCCATGAACAATAGATGGGTTGCTAGTTAAAAAAAAAAAAAGCATCAGCTGAGAGACTCCACCATGAAGACAGTGTGCAACTGAAAGTATCAATAATACCTAGAACAAATGTAATGTATTTAGCAATTTAAAAAGAACTGTCCTGGGGAAATGCTTATAAATCAAACATATTCTCAAAATAGGGTAGTTGGTAGCCTGAAGTAAGATCCTAGTAGGATAGCTGAAGCCTAAATAGGCCCGGCGCACAGAAAGTGGAACAGTTGGCAACCCTGTCGCTGAGCCTACCCCACTTCAGACCTGCGACAGTTGGGCTCTCACAGAAGTGGCTGACCTGTGCGGGCACAGCGCACAGCTGTCCTTCTCCCTCCTCTCCAACTCTGTCCTAGGACAAAGGGTCAGGAGCCTGGCCTGTTGAGAGTAATTGATCCCCTTGCCTGAGAAGCGTGATCACTTTCCAAAAACAGAAAGAGTGAACCCTCCGCCTGAACAGAGCAAACTCCCAGCTCACAGGCCAGTGATGAAAAACAATTCAAAGCAGAGTGACCGATGGAGGGAGGAACTTGACATTCCAGCTGCCTTTCAAACCCGGGGAATTTTTGTGGCTTTTCTGGTACTTCTAGAATCCTTCTGAGTCATGAGCAGAAGTTGGGACTGAACTTGAGGGAAAAAACAAAATCAAAACAAGCTGAGACTCTGAAAATTTCATCCAAATCCAAAATACTGTTTGTTTTGAGCACAATTAATTTAGTTTCCCTTTTGTGCTACTTAATTTCATCTCAAAACAAAAGTATGGCTTTTTCTTGCTTTGGAGACCTTTTGGTCCTTTTTCTTCTAGAGTATCTCAAATGGGTAAAGTCCACAAAACCATCCTCTGGAGCTAAGAATCACTAAGGAATAGGTTAGGTTGATAGAAAATAAAGGATTTATTTCAGGTACCAGAGCAATCTTCCCACAGTTGTATTTTTTTGTCTGGTTTGTTTTTAGGATTTATTTATTTATTTATTTGAAAGGCAGAGTGACAGAGAGAGAGAGATCTTCCATATACTGGTTCACTCTCCAAACGACTGCAACACTTGGGGCCCAGCCAGGCCAAATCAGGTGCCTGGTACTCTATCCAGGTCTCCCACATGGGCTGCAGAGGCCCGAGCACCTGGACAGTCCTCTGCTGCTTTCCCAGGTGCATTAGCAGGGAGCTGGATCAGAAGTGGAACAGCTGGGACTGAAGCCTGTGCTCTGAACTAATACAACTTCTTTATATACATAACATTTGTTTGAGCAAACTATCGTCTCCATAGTGTTTTTTTTTTTTTAAGTTTATTTATTTATTTGCAAGTCAGAGTTACATAGAGAGAGGAGAGGTAAAGAGAGAGAGAGGTCTTCCATCCAATGGTTCACTCCCCAAGTGGCTGCAATGGCCAGAGCTGCACCGATCCAAAGCCAGGAGCCAGGAGCTTCTTAGTCTCCCATGAGGGTGCAGGGGCCCAAGGACCTGGGCCATCTTCTACTGCTTTCCCAGGCCATAGGAGGGAGCTGGATTGGACAGTGAAGCAGCCGGGTCTTGAACTGGTGCCCATATGGGATGCTGGCGCTTCAGGCCAGGGTGTTAACCCGCTGCGCTACAGCACCAGCCCCCGCTGGCCTCGCCAATGTGTTCTAATGCAGTTTTACAACTTTTGTTCCCAGGCAGAAGTTTAGATTCCCCTGGCTCCACCTTAGAGGCTCCGAGTCACTGGATCTGGTTGGGGATCAGGAATTCTTTATTTTTTATAATACATGAAGGTCTTCAAACATTCATGGAAAATGCATATTATGAAAAACATAAGCATGGACTTCACTTTGGGGGGTGGGGGAGAAGAAAATTAAGCTTATCTTTTAGTTCCATCTTCTCATGCATGTTTTGAAGTACCCTTCTACACCCCAGGTGATTCTGCTACTAATGGGTTGTGAACCACACTAAGGAAAGTCCTTTCCTAATGCCAAAAACACTAAGTCAGCTTTATTCTATTCTGCTCGCCTGGTCCGGGCCAGCCAGGCTTGCAAACTGCCGGCTGCTGGTGCCTTGTCTGAAGCGGGAGGAACAGGCCCTGGAGCGCACATCTTGCTGCGTTTTCAAACATCCAGGAGAGGGCAGCAAACTCTTCCCGGCTCTGAAGGTGCTTCTCAAGCTTGTTGCGTTGTAATTTGCTTTGCATGTGCTTTTTCTTAAGCAGAAGAACGAAAAAGACCTTGAGATGTGTTTGATGTCTGACCCCTGCCTCTAATCAACGACGAGCATAAATATTTCCAGAAACAGAAAGACACAGGTTAATCATTAGAATAAGGGACTGTCGCAAGTTCCTTGCTGCTCTTTCTGATCTCTGGCAAAAGGGATTGTTATGCCTTCCCTTGGCTGCAGTTATTGTCAATCAAAGTTGGCCTTTCTAATCACTAACTTAAATCTCTCTGGCAGTAAGCAAAACATTCTTATTTGGGGATCTAGGATCAAGGAGAGTTTTGAAACATTTGGCATGAACATAAATAGGATTGTAGAATTTTCAAACGTAAAACAAAGTTCATGAACTTTACTTGTCTCAGAGAGAGATCCTAGTTATTTCTGTTTTAACTTAGCATTTTAATTTGAGCAAATAATGTTATGGGTCGACAAAAAGCAAAGTCGGTCCTGGCCTAGATATTAGAAGTGTGAGCAGCACAAAGTAACAGGTAGGCCTACACTGTAGCAACTTTGACCCCAACAGGCCCATTGTTTTCAGCCTTTAATCCAGGAAGGTTTATTTCTATAACAAAAATGATGATGATGTGTCTGCAAGTTCTGTAATATGAGATGTATGTTTGTGCATTTGCCAGTGGGAGGAGAAAAGACTAACAGGAGAGAGCTGGAGATTTGTGGAGAGGGAGTAAAGTTGTATGGAGCACAATAAATGATGATCTACTTAGGTGTTTATAGGAACTCACCTGTATTAGACTTGCCAATCAATACTGAAGTGGGCAAGATTTGGAATAACAGTGAAAGTGCATACCACTATCTTAGAGTGTGTAACGATTTCTAAGACACAGATCAAAACAGGTTAGGGAGGAACTTTGTGACTGATATCAGTTGGGACTCTTTTTTTTTTTTTTAAGATTTATTTTTATTTATTTGAAAGAGGTATAGAGAGAGGTAGAGACAGAGAGAGAGGTCTTCCTTCCACTGGTTCACTCCCCAATTGGCCGCAACAGCCTGAGCTGTGCCAATCCGAAGCCAGGAGCCAGGAGTTTCTTCAGGGTCTCCCACGTGGGTGTAGGGGCCCAAGGCCTTGGGCCATCTTCTACTGCTTTCCCAGGCCATAACAGAGAGTTGGATGGGAAGAGGAGCAGCCAGGACTCTAACTGGCGCCTATTTGAGATGCCGGCGCTTCAGGCCAGGGCTTTAACCCACTGTGCCACAGCACTGGCCCCAGGACTCTTTTTACAAATAGACAAGCCCTGGTTATTTTTCATGCTTTTCTAGAAATTTTTTTTTCAATGGATAGTTGGTTGTATTAGAGTTTCAGACAAGTATTGCTTGCTGAGGGCTCCCTCTTCCTCTAGCTTTCAAAAGTGTAATTATGAGAATCTATACATTGTGCTGCCTCCAGGAGTTATCCTTTATATTAGGCTAAGACTATATATCCAAAACAGCTAAGTGATTGATGCAATGTTTGGGGCTAATTCATAAGTATTCTGTAAATTTATGAGTGCATTTACACAAATTAATACTGCAAATGAGAAAATTGTTTAGCACTTGAAGAGTCACGTATATATCTAGCATCATCTCAAAATGAGGGCAAATGTGAAAGTGAGGAGAAGTCAAGGGAATGCAAAGAATGAGATACGTTTGATAAAGTGTAGCTCCCACAGTCCCAAATGTGCAAAGCTGTGTCAAGATAACTACATGTTACAGTTTTGTGAGCACATGAAGGAAACTATGCCAAAGGAAAACAGCTCTATTAACAGCTAGTATCAGGGGCAAAATTAAGTATTTGATCTCTTATTTTTAAAAGTTTGATAAGTAGGCAAGCATTCTAATACCTTCCCTTGAACCGTTAAAGGTTCAACTACAAATAGATCGAGGATTCATGTTTTCAAATGGGATAAATGCCTCTGATTTTGAAAAATTATACTTGGTGTTTCCAGATTTCCTGTTGTACTTGAAAAGTACATGATCATGGCTTTCATGGTATACTCTCTAATAATCTTGTTTCCCCCTTGGGGTTCTTCCATCTATTCCAGCAAAGCAACCATTCACTTGAAAATTCCACATACTTACGGCATTGCCTTGTGTCTCTAACATGAAATGTTCGAATAAGGATCTTCAAAAAATTCATGGAAAATGAATATTATAAAAAAGTGTGGATTTCAAAAAATTTTTTGTACCAAAATAATTTGATTTTGTTTTCTATGAACATTTTGAAATCACTTCATACATTATTATTGTGTAAGTTCCTTCAAACAAGAGAGATATAAGTATACATAACTTAGCACTTGGACCAGAGAGATATGGGAAGGGAATTAAGCACAATTTTTTCTACTCTGAGCTTAAGAAAGCAAGTTGTTGACTTCTCTGATAGAGAGTTGCATTTATTTTTCCTAATTTTAAACATCACTCTGGAGCCATGTTTTAGATGAGGGAACCATAAATGCAATTTGGCAATATATCTTAAGTTTCTTTTTTTTAAAAAAAGATTTATTTATTTATTTGAAAGTCATAGTTACACAGAGAGAGGAGAGGCAGAGAGAGAGACAGGTCTTCTATCCCCAATTGGCTGCAATGGCCGAAGCTGAGCCAATCTGAAGCCAGGAGCCAGAAGCTTCCTCCAGGTCTCCCACGCAGGTGCAGGGGCCGGAGGCCTTGGGCCATCTTCTACTGCTTTCCCGGGCCACAACAGAGAGCTGGATTGGAAGTGGAGCAGCCAGGTCTCGAACCGGCATCCTTATGGGATGCTGGCGCTTCAGGCCAGGGCATTAACCCGCTGCGCTACAGTGCCAGCCCCAAATCTTAAGTTATTAAGTTATTAAAGAGTGGTAAGTTAAGCAATTTCCCCAAGGCCTGGGATATAAACCCAGGGATCTACTTAATGAACTCTGGGATAAAATAGATGGAAGAACAATTGCATAGACATTGTAAGTCACTTTCCTCATACTGTATTCTACGCATCTTTGAAATTATGTTGTCATATGTTGTGTGGTTGTCAACAAGCTTTGTTTTGTCAGTTTTTTTAATATAATGAGGAATTTTTAATGTAATGAAGCATTATGATAAAGTGGTGGCTTAGAAACACACCAGTGGGAAGTTTTGAGACTATTATCAGGCAAAGGGCAATCCAAGCTTGTCAACTGCATGTACACATTTCTTAAAAATACTTGTTCTTAAAATCTTAGCTGAGCCGGCGCCGCGGCTCACTAAGCTAATCCTCCACCTTGCAGCGCCGGCACACCGGGTTCTAGTACCGGTCGGGGCGCCGGATTCTGTCCCGGTTGCCCCTCTTCCAGGCCAGCTCTCTGCTGTGGCCCGGGAGTGCAGTGGAGGATGGCCCAAGTCCTTGGGCCCTGCATCCCATGGGAGACCAGGATAAGTACCTGGCTCCTGGCTTCGGATCAGCGTGGTGCGCCAGCCGTGGCGGCCATTGGAGGGTGAACCAACGGCAAAGGAAGACCTTTCTCTATGTCTCTCTCTCTCATTGTCCACTCTGCCTGTCAAAAAAAAAAAAAAAAAATCTTAGCTGGTAAAATTCTCCTCTAAGAAACAAAAGCCATTCTACTTGGAAAATGAGTTTGCTTAAGGAATATTAGCTCTATTTCAAATAGCAAGCACGTAATCTATAAAACATCGTCTCAACCCATCCTCACTTCCTTTCCAGGGCTAAAACCATGTACACATTAGTTTTTCTTTTTGTGAATGAGGAGAGAAAACACATTTGTTTGATTTGGCCTAGGAAAGAAATATTTTTAGGATATCATGGACAGCTAAAGCTATATTCACATAGTTAAACACATTTTAAGTTGGTTTTATAACTAATCATAATTATAACTCAAATAAAGTGTATAGTGTGTTAATTTTCTAATTTTTTTATTTACTTTTATTTATTTGAAAGGTAGAGTCAGATCTTCCATCCACTGGTTCACTGCCCAAATGCCCATAACAGCCAGAGCTGTGCCAAGCCAAAGCCAGGAGCCAGAAACTCAACCCAGGTCTCTCAAATGGGTGACAGGAACTTAAATATTTGAAGCATCATCTGCTACCTCCCAGTGATCACTTCAGTAGGAAGCTAGAATCAGAAGTGCTGCCAGGACTCAAATACATGTAGCCCAATATGGCATGCAGGCATTCAAGGTTAGTATCTTTAAGCCTGTGCCAATGCCCACCCAATCATGTTAATTTTTATGCTAACAATGATGACCACCCTTTATTAAGTGTTTAGAATGTGCCAAACACTGTATTTTTTCTCTATCAAAACTTCCCACAAGGTCAAAAGCTAATTGATTTTAAGGTGAGCATTCAACTCAGCATCTTTGCTGCTTGGGACACCTGCATCCCATATGAAAGTGCTTGGTTCAAGCCCTAGATAGTCCACTTCTGATCCAGCTTCCTGCTAATACATGCCCTGGGAGACATTGGATCATGTCCCAAGGTGCTGGGCCCTTGAAACACATGTGAGAGACCCAGAAGGAGTTCTGGGCTCCTGGCTTCTGCCTTGCCCAACTCTGGCCATTGTAGCCATTGGTGAGGGAACCAGTGGATGGGAGGTCTTTCTCTCTCTCTCTCTCTCTCTCTCTCTCTCTCTCTCCTTTTCAAATGAACAAATAAACCTCTAAAAGAATGAAAAAATTTTCATAGTATATCAACATAATTAATTTAGAAATTTAACCTTTTTTCTATAGAAAATGATGGAATTAGAACTTTTGACATCTATTATTTTTTTCTATTGTGGGACTCTATATGAATGACTTTTACTATTTAAATCTTGAGGAGAATACAACTTTTGACGAAATATTTGAAAATGTGTTCAAAGATTTATTTTTATGTTCAAACCAGTTAGAGTTACATAAAAATACACTTAAGTAGGGTTTTCTCCCAAAAATTACAAAAAATTAAAATGGTAGTCCTAGCTATTTAAACAGAAAAGTCATATTAATAGGAGTATTTTTAGAGGCTATAAGTTGTAGAGGGACATAGTTGTTTTTTTTTTTTTTTTTGAAAGAAGATAACAGGATAAAATTTGCTACTGCCACAATTTTTTTCTGCTGACAGATTCAATGCCCCAAAATACATTATTCAAATTAAATTTTGTTACCTGTGGCTTTAAAGGTCCAATTTTCCTTGTACAAACACGTAAAGTATAACCTGTGTGACCTAGGGTAGATGTCTAATTTCTACCTCTTAGTTTTCTTATTGGCAATATAAAGATTGTAGGGTTATTGAAAGAACTAAATGAGGTAATAGTTATTGTTATTGTTTGTTGGCCTTTTGGCCAAGATCAGGTATAAATGAGGTCATAGAAATACAATTCTTAGAACTGTGCCTACAGGAAAAATTCTATACAGTTCAGTTATTGTTGTTACCACTACTTCTAGGAGGAAAGGGACCCCAGAAATATAAGAACAAATTCCTCCCTATTATCAATCTCCATGACCTCAAATTGAGTGTGGTTATTTTTATTCTTTTATAACAGAAGTTTAAAAAAAATCCAGAAGTTTATTCTTTGGCCCACTGTGGCCTAGCAGGGAGGTGAGGTCAGTGGCAATGTTCCTGGCCAGCCTAGCTGCCTGCGTTCTGTTGCGGGGAGGCGGGCAGGGGCTGGCACTGCGGTATCTCAGGCGTGCGCTGCTAATGCCACTTCAAAGGCAAGTCTGTCCTATTTTTATCCCAGGTCGGCAGCCTGCCTATGCAGTTGCCTTGTGAACAAAAGGTCCTGTCAGGTCTCTGACACCTTCAGAACCACGGTTTCTTCTCATAGTAACAAAAATCATCACTATTTGTTATGCTACGTGGCGTTCAGTCTTGAAGTGCAATCTCTACAGTAGACAGCATTAGTCCCATTTTACAGCTACGGAAGGTAAGGCTTGGAGAGATTGACTCCTGGGTAACAAGAGGCAAAGGCAGAACACCCAGGTCAGTGTGATATCCACACTCCTGTCCCTTCTAATACAACATGCCTGCAGTTTCCCCTGTCATTTACCACCCTTAAGTATCCTCACAAGAGAAATTCCTTCAAACATACAACTTTTAGAAAGCCTATTGTTTCAGAACAGAAAATTTAATCCACAATTAATCTAAGATAATAGTGATGGAACCAAGATGAGATACTCTGTATCTCTTACTTACTTCACGTGTAAGTGTGTTGGTTACATTCACTGAACTGTTTTTTTTTTAATTTTATGCAAAATCATTTTTTAAAAAAGATTTATTTATTTGAAAGGCAGAGTTACACAGAGGCACAGAGAGAGAGAGAGAGAGAGAGAGTCTTCCATCTGCTGGTTCACTCCCCAGTTAGCCACAATGGCCACGAAGCCAGGAGCCAGGAGCTTCTTCCAGATATCCCATGCGTGTTCAGGGGCCCAAGGACTTGGGCCATCTTCTACTGCTTTCCAAGGCCATAGCAGAGAGCTGGATCAAAAGTGAAGCAGCCAAGACTTGAACTGGTGCCATATGGGATGCCAGCCTGCAGTGCCGGCCCCCATAGAACTGTTTTTAAAATGTGTGGTTACTTGGCTACTTTTCTATTTTAAAATTCAGGTTATTAGTCCTGATTCTCTGCCCTGCTCTTCACAGGCAGAATACTACTGTGAACTTCTTCCTAATAAGAGGTCATTCTCCTCCCTTTTCTAGATAGGAGGAGGCTACAACAGAATTTCCCAACACTCCACTTGGAGGATGCATTTTAAGTTTAAGGGAATGTGAGGAAGAGAATTTTATTAAGAGACTAGAAGAGAAGTGACCTTAAAGATGTCCTCATGCACTCTGCCTTCAAGCTTGATTGTATTGAAATCACCTAAGGGGAGTATTTGTCCTATACTTATGGCCTCTGGATAAAAGGATTCTATCTGTATGCAGAAACGTCTTCCAATGTTGGATTGCTTCTGCTGTCAAGAAAATTGTCACGGAAGACTCACTACAGTTGGGAGTGATCCTATGAGATTGGTTAGCAGGAGCTGCCATTTTGTAAAATCTGCTTGCAATGTCATGATAAAAGGGAAGACAACACTCAGTTTTCTCTTCTCCAGTCCTAATTAATTTCAGTGTCCATTATCTTTCTCTTCTTAGCTCTTATTTTTTTAAGTCTTGCTCTCTTCAAAATTCATGCCTAATTCTCTAAGGTTTTTCTTATTTGTAAGATCAAAGCAAACTCTCAAACTTCCATGGATCTGAATGAAAATCAATTTAATTGCATTTAAAAAAATCACATCTATTTATAAAATTGATTTATTCATAAATATTTATTCAACCTAATTTACCTGCTAAGGATGATTTGGAGTGTACACATATATATAGGATATGGTAGGGAGGAGTCTAGTAGTATGAATCCCATTATCTGAACCCTGTGTGGGAAGGGTTGCACCTTTCAAACTGCCCAAAAGTTTTAGTGAAGATAGCCAAATTTTTGATTTATGGCAGCCAGATATAGAAATGATCATTCATTCATTTAACAAATATTTTACTAAGCACCTACTATTCTGACACCAGTCACTGGTCTAGGGATGTCTTAACAAAAAACAAACAAAACAAAACAAAACAAAACAAAAAAAACCTTCACCCTTAGATGAAAATTAATTTCACAAAGAAAAAGACTTAAAAAAAAGTCAAAAATTGATCAGTTAGGAGGATGTAAACCTAAGGGAAGGGAGGTGGAGAATTCTGAGAGTGAAGGAATAGCCAAATAGAGTGATGGGATGATGTTGGGGTAGGGCCTGAAGGAAAGGAGGTGGGGGTTGCATCCAGGGTTTTGTGTTCAGACAGAGGGATCAGCAGGTGTAAAGTCCTGAGGTGTGCAGCATTCCTGTCTGTGTGTTCAAGGAAGAGCAGAAGGCTGCTAACTGGCTGGAGCACAGTTAGAGGGAGAGAGTGTAAGGAGATGAAGTCAGATGGAAGGAGCTGCTCAAGGCCAGCACTGTGGCCTAAAAGGTTAAGCCTCCACCTGCATTCCATAGGGGTGCCATTTGGCATCCCGGCTGCTCCACTTCGTTCCAGCTGCCTGCTAATGTGACTGGGAGAGCAGAGGATGGCCCAAGTACTCAGGCCCCTGCATCCACATGGGAGACCCAGAATTTCCTGGCTCCTAGCTTTGGCCTGGCCCAGCCCTGCCTGTTGTGGCCATTTGGGGAGTGAACTAGTGGATGGAAGATAGATATCTCTCTTGATCCTTTCAAATAAATAAATAAATAAATAAATATTTACGGAAAAAGGGAGTTGCTCAGGAGATTTTGTGGTGTCTTATGGGTCAATGAAAACACTGATTTTTCCTTTTAAAAATAAGCCAATGGAAAGTGATTTTTAAGATTTGTTTATTTATTTTAAAGGCAGAGTTACACAGAGAGAAAGAGAGAGAGAGAGAGAGAGAGGTCTTCCATCCGCTGTTTCACTCCTCAAATGACCACAACAGCCAGAGCTGGGTCAGGCTGAATCCAGGAGCCAGGAGCTTCTTCTGGGTCTTCCACGTGGGTGGCAGAGGCCCAAGAAATTGGGTTGCCCTCTGCTGCTTTCCCATTCACATTAGCAGGGAGCTGGATTGTAAGTGGAGCAGCCAGATCATGACCAGCACACATACAGGATTCTGGCATTGCAGGCTGTGGCTTAATCTGCCGTACCATGATGCTGGCCCCCAATGGAAAGTTTTAATCAGAGGACTGGGTGACATAATCTGATGTAGAGATTCACAGGATTATTTTGGCTGGCATATTAAGAATAGACTGAGTGAGGCAAGGATGGAACTGGGAAAACCAATCAGGAGACAATGTCAATAATTTAGGCAAGAGTATTTGGCAATTTAGTCCAAAATGGTACCCATGGAGGTGATGAGAAATGTCAGATACTAGATGTATTGTATGGTCAGTGCTAACAGACCAGGCGTAGAGTGTAAGATGGGGGATAGTCCACACTGACTCTAAAGACTTTGATCTGAGCAAGTGGGAATTTGGAAAATGCCTGTGCTTCCTGAGTGCTTTCTTCTCTTTGAGTGTCTCTTCTAGGATCTCTGCTTTTCAGAAATTCCAATCAATGGTTATAAGGTCAAAAGATATACCATTTGCTCTTTTTACTTTTCTTGGGCCTTTGGGAATAGCCGTGCTGGGTAATTAATGATTATGTGTTTAAGAAGTCAAATGAGTTGGACTAATAGTTACCAGTTGAAGATCCTTGCTCTACACTGCATGTATAAGCAGGATTTCAGCCAAGGGAACCTTATAGCTTTCAAGGTGTATGACATAATACAGTTGAACTTCAAGGCATTAAACTCTTTTGGCTTCTAGGACTATTTACATTGCTTTAGAAACGTAAACCTCAAAGAATCTTTCGTTTTCAAGTGTCAAGTGCTCCTGGCCAGTTAAGTTGGTTACCAGACAGTTCAACAAGGAAGCTAACTAAACTACTTTGTTAATGAGCTGTATGGCTAAATCAACATTCAATTGGCATAAAAAGATGATTTTTATTAAGCCAAGAAAGACCCTCAGCTGCTCTGAGCTTTGCTCCTAAATGCAGAGCCCCATATTTGTTTCTCCTCAAGGGGCCAAAGTGCATCTAAATCTGATGTACTCTGCTTCCTTTACACTGGCCACCTGCTTGTTCTCGTGACACATGGCAAACTGCCAAATATTCACTCATCACAATGTAAATGACCCTTGCCAAAATTTCTTTATTTTTAATTGCTATACTTCCTTTTTTAAAATTTTATTTAAGTAATACAAACTTCTTGCATTTTATATACACAAATTTAGGAACACAGTGATTCTTCTCACCCTACCTTTCCAAAATTTCTAAGATCTCATTCCATTTAGTTTGCATGAACTTGACTGTTTTTAAAGAGGATGTTCTCTCAAAAGAATCTCATTGCAAGTACAGTCCAATCTTAGATTCACAGCTCTAGTATGAGACGCTTATGTTCAACTCTCTATTCTACTGCTTATTAGCTTTCTACCCCTGGCTAAGTTGTTTATCCTCTTCAAGAATTGTCATCTGCAGGATAGTGATAGTGTCTACTTTGTAGGATTGTTGCGAGGATATATGAAATATGCCACATAAAGCAAGAATACCAATTTCCTACACACAGTAAGTAATGTATCAGTGTTGGCTACTACTAAAGGCAGAGGTAGGAAAATGCTTCTTTAGTCTTTTAGGGCGATATAGAACATCCAGTGATTCATGAGTTCAGTGGAAGTCTTACACCCTTCACTACATGAATTGTATTGGATTGGCTAAAT